ATCACCTTCCCCATAGTACCTGTCTCTTGGTCTCTTGGCTTAGATCTGGCAATGGAGCAGGAAGAGGAGGGGCCCAGGATGAATTAACTGAGAAGTTCCAAGGCTTCTAACTGGTTCATTCCAGTTGGGTCCCCTGCTGACAATTTGCATTTCTACCCAGATATACAGAATCAGAATCAACATGTTAACATGATCCCCAGGTGTATACATAAGAATTACCTGAGGATAAGTAAGATTCACGTGGGGATCTTGTTAAAATGTAGATTCCAATTCTGTGGATTTGGGATGGAAACCAAACTGTCAGCAGGGAGTCCAACCGGAATGAACCAGTTTGAAGCCCTGACTAGAGAACCCTGCCCCATGCCAAGCTTGTGGCAAATTTCTCTGCAGGTGGAAGGCACACTGTGACAGCTCAGACAGGAGGCGTGTCCAGAAGGCAAGAGCAGACCTCTATCTTGGCCTGGCTTCTTCCTCCTATATCTTCCCCCTGGTCTCCCCCTCCTCCTCCTCCTCCTCCTTCTCCACATCCTGACACAGCTGGGGGTAGTGTAGTACTAGAATGTCCAGGAGGCCCAGAGCCTCATGAGGACCCTAGGAGGCAGATTGACAGAAACAATTCACTGTGGTACAGTGGTTAAGCATTCAGCTGCTAACCAAAAAGGTTGACAGTTCAAACCCAACAGTGACTCCATGGGAGAACGATAAGGCAGTCTGTTTCCATAAAGATTTACAGCCTTGGAAACCCTATGGGGCAGTTCTACCCTGTCCTATAGGGCCGCTGTAAGTCAGGATCAATTCCATGGCAGTGGGTTTGGGGTGTGTAATGAGCACATTTCCACTGGATGCCTGTGTTACAGTGAGGCCTCTGTGCAACTGAGCAGGGAACACAACAAGGGTCCTCATGAGGCTTGGGACTCCAGTTCTACGCGGCCTCCGCACTGGGAGAGGATGAAGAGGAGGAGGAGGCCAGAAGGATGAGATGGGGTGAAGAGGCATGTCCGCGCCCTGCCTGCCCTTCCACCAGCCTCACCAGAAGCAGGGCCCCTTTGTCATCTGTTGCAAATTATGCTGAAAGCTGAGGCTTCATAGCAAAGCCAGAGGTCAGGGCAGGCCGGATCCTGCCAAGTGACCCCAGAAAAGGACCATCACCTTGCCAGCCTAATGCCCTCACCCCAAGAAAGTCAAAAAGGTACACGCCAAGGCCAAAATAAGCAGCTAATAGCACAAATGACAAAAGACAAAGTAAACAAATAGGACCTCGTAAAAGTTAAACATTTTTGTTCATCAAAAGACTTTATCAAAAAAGTGAAAAGATATAGGGTTGGCAGACAATGGTCCTATAAGTTTATGTGAGTGATCAGAATTCCCAGGTGTATAGTAGAGCTGACAAGGGCCAATGTTATGGTCATTGCTTGGTCACAGCCAGCTACCCAGAGCGACCAAGTAGTTGATCCTGTGGGCTTGGGACCATAGTCGCAGGGGACATCAAGCTCAATTGGCATAACATACTATACAAAACATTGTTCCACCTCCTACTTTGGTGAGTAGCGA